TGGGGAGATGGCTCAGTGGAATAAGCGCTTCCCTGGCAAGCTCAAGGGCCTGAGTTCAATCTCCAGTTCCGCAAAAAAACCAAAGCAAAAAAAACAACATATTTTCAACTACATTCCCAGCCCAGATTTTAAGACAGGACCTTACTAAGTTGCCTAGGCTTATCTGCAACTCACAGTCCTCCTGCCTCAGTTTCCCACAGTGCTGAGATTACAAGTATAGACTGCCATGCCTGGTTACCTGGCTTTGGCAATGGAATAGGGAATCTTTTCTCCTGCACAGTTGTACTTGTCTGGTTTAGGGAAAATGGGGGCAGGTGAGGTGAAAGGAAAAGAATGTGGAAGAAATAGGAAGATATTTAGAGTTGGAAATTTGTTAAAGCTTTTTGAAGCCGAGAATAATGACTATTCTCTAGCCAAACTAAGCTCAAAGGATATTCATAGGTCTTAGTAGGATATTCATTCTGCCTTGTTCAGCACTTGGCTTCCTTTAGGTAAATGTCCTCCCCTCATTTCTAGGTGCAGAGGTCAATGCTTCTCCTCTTTGGAACCTGGCACATGTGAAAATGGAGCCTCAAGAGAGCGAAGAGGGCAATGTGTCTGGGCATGGAGTGCTGGGCAGTGACGTCTTCGAGGAGCCCATGTCAGGCATGAGTGAAGCTGGGCTCCCTCAGAGCCCTGACGACTCAGACAGCAGCTATGGTTCCCACTCTACAGACAGCCTTATGGGGTCCTCCCCTGTTTTCAACCAGCATTGCAAGAAGAGGATGAGAAAAATATAAAAGGAAAGGAGGACATTTTCAGGCCAGACCTACAGCACCCACCAGAAAACCTTGGTGTGTCAAGAGTTTGTTTCTATAAATAGGGATTTTATTATTATTTTATGTATTTAGTACAGAGTCTACAGGGTCTTTCTACACAGATCGGACTGGTAGTGATCCTCGTCTTCAGCCTCCCAAGAGCGGGGATTACAGACGTGCACCACTGCATTCTCATTCACCTCAGGGGTGAGGCTGGCATAGCATGCCAGGGATCTAACCCTGGTCCCTCATCTGCCTAAGCAGGCGCTCTGCTGAGCTAGCTGGCTGGCCCTTGATTCTTTTTGGCCAGCTCAGCCCACCCTGGGAAGTGGGGGGGCTGGCGCATGTGGTGCCGGGGATTGAACCCTGGTCCCTGCGCACTTGCCTAAGCGGGCACTTTAGACTACTGAGGTATCTCACCAGCCCCTGCCCTTGATTTTTATTCTTAAAAATTAGGCCTAATTTCAGAGAAACTGGACTTAACCAAGTAAGTTTGCATTCTCCTTTGGCATCCAGTATCTTCCCATAGTAACCAAGCCACCATTCACAGATGGGTCAGGAGACCAGTCTTCCCTGTGAGTACTCATTACTTGGCTGCTCTGCAGCTGTTTTTCTTGTACAGTTGAGCAGAACCATGCCACATTGACATCCCATGCAGAGGTGAGAACTGCGACGCTCGCCCAGCTCCAAAGTGGTATTTAAATACTACAAATGGATGCTGATGTCAGCTGTTCACTGAACTCGATTCACTTTTGGTTCAGGTCACTAGGAATATAGTATTAGTCTAACGAGAAATAGCTAAATACAACTTCCCAGTAGTCATTTTTTGGGGAAAAAAAAGTATTTTGTTGCCTACGAAGTCCTTTATAAAGGTCTGTAGTCTCAGGCCTTATTGTGTATCCTGAGAACCCTCTTACCTCACCCATACTTTAGTCAAACTTCTCTAGACTTATTCTATATATCCTTATCCTTTATACCTTTATTTCTTATGATTCAGGCTTTAATTGCTCAGTGTATACATTTTTCCAGTTGTTCATTTTCTTTGTGATTGAAGCAAACAGGACCAGTTCAAGGATTGTCTTAGCTTATTCCGTGTCGTATGTTTGGTCATCAGAGGACAGTGATCTGCTTCTCCCAGTGTCCCTACACATTGTGCTTCTGCTACCTAACAGGCAGCATTTGGCAGAGGAACACACACCTGTCTGTTTCGCACCCAACCCGAACTGCTTTACTGCTCTCCATCCAGAATAGTACTGGCCCTGCGTGCACTGGTAGTCTGTCCTCAAAGAAATGAGGTAGCACTGTAGCGATTAGGAGTAAACAGCAAATGTGTGCTGCAGACTTGCTAATGGATGCCATCATGTTAAACGAGACTGCTGCAGTTTGATTTTTCTAATGCAGAATAAAGTCCTAGGAAATGTAAACCACTATTTTAATAGAGACCAAAAGTAAGATACGGCTTTGATACATTATTGAGCGCCTCAAGTTTCCCAGCCATTGAGAACAATGTGACTGTAGCAAAATGAGGTTTTAATTTACCTGTTAAGAAATAATTTATAGGTGGGCTGGTGAGATGGCTCAGTGGTCTAAAGCACCTACTTAGAA